TTTTATCATTTTTTTAAAGTACTAAATAGTCTTTATTATTCCCCCTTAAACAAATTATATGACCCAGAGAAGACGTGTAGATTGGCTTATATTATATAAAAGGTTGAACATTATGTTTACTTTGGGGTATTTAGAAAAGCACATTTTAAACTAATGAAAGATTAAACAATCAGGCCATTCCCCCCACCCCCAAATGTTTGGTAAATAACATTTACAATGTAGATGTTAAAATACAGTATTATAAATCCACAAAATATCACTTAGTGAGTTATTTTAGTGTCTAAAACTTAAGCTAGCTGATCACAAAGTTATTATTTAGGTAAATAACAAATTAAGTAAAAGCCAAGCCTAAGGTTAAAGTTCCTAAATTATAGTATTATCTTTATTAAAATGTAGGTCAGTTATAATGATGAAATTCAATTCTAGAAAATCAGCAATAAAAATCATAACTTCTTATTTCTGAGCTTTTCAAAATTATTTTATAACTTCCTAATTATAAGAAAAAATGTATACGTACAAGGAGTACTAAAGAAACCCTAAAACTTCACAGCATGATATTGATATTACACACAAATAAAAGTACCAAGCTTTTAAAAACTAACAAATAAGCAAAAAACTTAAGCAAAGATCTTTCAAACAACACATATTATTTGCTACACTGGACACAACAACATCTATATGTTAGTCTGCTGAGGCTGCCGTAACAGAGTACCACAGACTGAGAGGCTTAAATAACAGGAAATTATTTTCTCACAGTTCTAAAAGCTGAAAGACCAAGATCAAGGTGCAGCGGTCAGAATGGCTATCATCAAAAAATCTACAAACAGTAAACACTGGAGAGGGTGGGGAGAAAAGGGAACCCTCCTGAACTGCTGGTGGGAATGTAAATTGATACAGCCACTATGGAGAACAGTATGGACGCTCCTTAAAAAACTAAAAATAGAACTACCATACGACCCAGCAATCCCACTACTGGGCATATACCCTGAGAAAACCATAATTCAAAACGAGTCATGTACCACGATGTTCACTGCAGCTCTATTTACAATAGCCAGGACGTGGAAGCAACCTAAGTGTCCATCAACAGATGAATGGATAAAGAAGATGTGGCACATATATACAATGGAATATTACTCAGCCACAAAAAGAAACAAAATTGAGTTATCTGTAGTGAGGCGGATGGACCTAGAGTCTATCATACAGAGTGAAATAAGTCAGAAAGAGTAAAACAAATAACATATCCTAACACATATATATGGAATCTAAAAAAAAAAAAAGGTTCTGAAGAACCTAGGGGCAGGACAGGAATAAAGAGGCAGATGTAGAGAGTGGACTTGAGGACATGGGGAGGGGGAAGGGTAAGCTGGGACGAAGTGAGAGAGTGGCATTGACATATATACACTACCAAATGTAAAGCAGCTAGTGGGAAGCAGCTGCACAGCACAGGGAAATCAGCTTGGTGCTCTGTGACCACCTAGAGGGGTGGGATAGGGAGGGTGGTGGGGAGATGCAAGAGGGAGGGGATATGGGGTTATATTTATACATATAGCTGATTCACTTTGTCATACAGCAGAAACTAACCCAACATTGTAAAGCAATTATACACCAATAAAGATGTTTAAAAAAAAGAAAAGCAAATCAACTTAGGTATAAAATAAGCTCCAAGGATGTATTGTACAACACGGGGAATATAAACAATATTTTATAATAACTATAAATGGAGTATAACCTTTAAAAATTGTGAATCACTATTGTTCACCTGTAACTTATATAAGATTGTACATCTGCTATACTTCCATTAAAAAAGAATAATAAAAAGAATTTGAAAGCTGTTGCAACAAAAAATAAGCCTAATTAAATTCTGGGAAAATAAATAAAATAACCCAAGAAACAAATACCATATGCTAACGCATATATATGGAATTTTAAAAAGGGGTACTGATGAACCTAGTTGCAGGGCAGGAATAAAGACGCAAACGTAGAGAAATGTCTTGAGGGGGGTGGGGTAGGGGAGGGAAGCTGGGAGGAAGTGAGAGGGTAGCATTGATGTATGTGCACTACTGGGTGTAGGGTGGGAGGCTGCTGCGTAATGCCGGGGGGATCAGCTCGGTGCTTTGTGAGGACCCGGAGGGATGGGGTGGGTAGGGTGGGGGTGTTGGGGGGAGAGGATGTGGGGATGTATGTATGCGTGTGGCTGATTCACTTTGTTGTACAGTAGAAACTGATGCAGTGCTGTGGAGCATTTATACTCCAATAGAGATGTGGGAAAAAAAAAAAAGATCAAGGTGTAGGTAGGGCTGGTTTCCTGTGAAACCTCTCCGCTTGCTTGCAGGCTGAACCTTCTTCATGTCCTCACGTGCCCTTTCTTTTGTGTATGTGCATCCCTTGTGTCTTTTCCTCTTCTTATAATCATCCCAGCCATATTGATAGGTCCCCACTATCATGACCTTATTTAACCATACTTACCTCCTTAAGTCCATATACCCAAATGTAGTCACATTGGGGCTTAGGGCTTCAACATATGAACTTTGGGGGACACAATTCAGTCCCTAACACTGGCATATTTTATATATCACTCAAAGAAACAGAAATTAATTGGAATCTGAGTAGAACATCGAACTTTTGGTTGACAATAGAAGAGGTATGATATACCACTACATTTGATAAAAGTTTAATGTACAGAAAAAAAGAAAATACCTTCATTTGAAACTAAGCCTGTGAAACAAAGCTAATGTCTATATTTAAGTTCAGGGTTATGTAAGGAGTGAAGGGAAAGAGCATATCTATTACCCCTTAGAGGAATTAGACTGAGCTTTGAGGTTAGTGGCCAAGAAATGTGAGTGGAGTTCCAGGAGTGGCAGATCTTTCAGGATGATGGGATCCAATAATTTTCTAAACCCTCCTACAAAGTGTAAATGTTGTAGGCTGTCTAGCACAAGACCGTGAGGAATATAAGATGTGTAAGAGTTGTTTCTCAGCAGAGATACAACTGTTGTTAAGCATGTTCAAGTCTAAGGGCCAACTGTCCAGTCCAAGGGACACTTACGCCATGAAAAAACCATCCTGTCATACTCTTCATTCTAACAATGGGTGCACTTGTACATTTACATTACTAAGGGAAGTCCCTAAAGTGCCTAATCCCACAGTAAAACAAGATATCCTCCAAGGAGACTTATGGCCTTCAATGTGTAGTCTACCTGAAAGTTTGACCTTGGCAGGCACTCTACTGCAGGGGCCAAAGAGGAATGCTAAGGTCAGTTCTATGGCCAATAGACTCACAAAAGGGAAATAGGTACAAGCTATGATACAATCCAGCTTTTGTCTTTTTTGATTCACAGACATTAAAGGCATGGTTGTTGGGCTCTAATCAGTGAACAGCTCAATCTTATTTTTTTTAATAAATTTTTTTTTTTTTTGGTTCCATTGGGTCTTCGTTGCTGTGCATGGGCTTTCTCTAGTTGTGGCGAGCAGGGGCTACTTTTCGTTGTGGTGAGAAGGCTTCTCATTGTGGTGGCTTCTTTTGTTGTGGAGCATGGGCTCTAGGGCACCAGGGCTTCAGTAGTTGTGGCGCCCGGGCTTCAGTAGTTGTGATGCGCGGGCTTAGCTGCTCCGCGGTACATGGGATCTTCCCGGACTAGGGACTGAACCCGTGTCCCCTGTGTTGGCAGGTGGATTCTTAACCACTGGGCCACCAGGGAAGTCCCCACTCAAGCTTCTTGAGGATTCTTTCCTGTCCTCTTCCAGAGAGATTTGTTTGGGGCTTTTACAAGTCATAATGGAACAAGTTATCAATTTATTCAAATGGATCCACTAGGTATAATAAGTGTCCTACTACATTGAACTATTTATTGTACTAAATCAATTCCTTGGTTGGTCTATTAGCCCCACAAGTGTTAGTATTTGTAAGGGTTAAATGGAATTCTCAACCAATTATATTTTCATTATGTCATGACTATTGATTTTTTTCTATTGGGTAAAGTGTTCCTTTAAATTTAAAACAGAAGCAGTACAAAGATAATACATTTATATTTTCTCTTTTTAACGTCAATGTTTGTATTTTCTCTTGTAAATGACTTGTATTTTCTCTTTTAAATAATTTGTATTTTCTCTTTTAAATTATTTTAAAGGTCTCAAAGTTCTAGCCCTTCATCCCTCTAAAATGATACTAGCTATAAACAGTCCTTGAGAGAATTGAAAACACTGTCACTCAAATTATTGTGTTCTATAAACTTCAAACCTTTCTGTTTGCATAAAATTCTCTCTTCTGTAGTATGTTCTATGAAGTTTCTAATATCCTTTCATAGAAAAAATGCATTAATATAAAAAATAGGATAATCAAATAACAACCAATATTGGTTTCCTTAATCATTGTCATTTTGCAAAATGGTCCTTCACGATTTCTAATAAATTTATTTCCTAACGCGCTCCAGGGGGTGAAATGTTGAAAGGTCTCCCATTCTATTTACAAACACACTTATAAAGAATATAAAGGTTTTGATTGAATCCATAGTTAGAGATCTCATGGGCAAAAAAATCTTCCAAATTATAGGCTAATTGGGTCAGGGGAATACTAGTGGATAAAATTTTCTCCATAATCTTATATTATTTCGCACACAAGAGTAAAGGGTCAGGTGTACCTTGACTTCTCTTGGTTTCCCTGGCGCCTTGAAAACCAAGGGGAGGCCCGGTTAATTCTGCGGCGAAGGCTATGCGCCAACAGGGGCTTAGTGCCGCCTCCAATTCCTGCAGCAGCGGCTCCGCTCCTGGTCACATCCCGCCTTCGGAACTTCGGGGCGGGGGTCAGGGTGGTGACACTGAGGCAGGAGCCGGCCTGGGAGTGTCAGCGGAAAGCCGGGCAGCGAACCAGCCAGTCGCGGCGCGGGGAAGGCCGGCCGCGAGGGGCGGGCAGAAGCGCGGCTGGGGGCGGGGCTGGCGGGCGCGGGAAGCGCGAGGGGCAGCGGTGCGGCGTCCAGCAGGCGGCCGCAGCCCCGCCCCGCCCTGCCGCGTCCTGCCCGGTAGTCCCGCAGCGTCCTGCCCGCGCGCACTTCGCCGCGTCTTGGCGTCTACGAGCTTTCTGGTGCTCCGCGCGCAGCTATGGCTCAGCACTTCTCCCTGGCCGCCTGCGACGTGGTTGGCTTCGACCTGGACCACACTCTGTGTCGCTACAACCTGCCTGAGAGCGCCCGGGTGAGTGGCGCGGGCTGCCGGGGCGCACGGCGTGCAGCCTTCATGGCGGCTGGGGCTCGAGTTTCCTCCCGGCTTAGGCGGCGGCGAGCGTCGCCGGGGCCCTGCAGCCGCCGCGCCTTTACGCAGAACTCGGCCTCCCACGGCGAGGCGGGGCGGAAGGAAGTGTGCATCCCCCCCATCCCCGCCTGTGCTGTGGGTACCGGCTTATTTAGCCCAGCCCTTAGCCAAGTTTGAGAGATGGGTAGGGAAGAAAAGGGGCGAAGGAGGGGGAATGGGCTAGGGAAACGGTTCCTGGGTCAGAGGAAGGGTGGGGCTAGGGGAACTCGGGGTGTCCTTTGCATATCCCCGGCCTTGGAACTTCTCAGCAAATCGTTCTGGCCACCAGCAGAGCGCCGATACAGCCACCTGGTTAACGACTTGTATTTTCTTTGGCTGCGTTTTTCTTTTGCACGTCCATGAGACCGCCTGTCAGTTTTTAAACACTGCAGTCCGGGAGAAATTGTGTGGTGTATTGGAAGACTAACCGAAAAGTCTTTAACATGTTAGCCCTAATTTTGCCTTTTGCCAAGAGAAGGAAATAAATTTTGCTCTCCTGTTGCGTGCTCCATGCACCTTGAGTAAGGTCTAATCCTGACAACAGCCTGGGTCCTCACTGCACTTAGGGAGGGAGGGGGAAGTGGGGTGTGTATGATTCCACACCCGTACCCTGAAGTGAATTGTTCTCCCTCCCCCATTCCTTTGGTTTCACAAGGAAACTAATTTTGAAAAATTAACTTTTTTTTTTTTAGTCAAATATGTAAGTATCCAAGCGAAATAAGCTGGTTATGGTAGTCAAAGCGAGGACTCTGCAGCCAGACTGCAGACAGAGGGCACCAGCTCCTCTGTTCCTAGCTCTATGACCTCGGGCAAGTTACTTAACCCGTGTCTATTCTCAGTTTCCCTGTCTGTAAAATGGGGCTAATAATTGGGTTTGCCTGGAAAGGTTGTTGAAAGGATTAAAAGGGTAAAGGATGTATAATGCTTAGAGCTTACAAGTGTTTGCTTTTATAGTCACCACCCATATCATTCCCCAGCCTGACCACTTATGAATAGAGCTCCTGGCTGCTGATGCAGGCATCAGCCAGGGCTGCTCCTCAGTATGGTGAGGTCAGTGCTCCAATCAGCAGTTCAGGTACCCCTCAAAGGTCAAAACAGTGAATTACTCATGTTCTCTATGTACAGATGGTGGAAAAAAAGAAGTGTACTGTTTCTTCTATTATACTTTCCTGCTTTCCTGCTGTACAGGTGTTTCCTTAGTCATGTTGGGAGTTGAGGAGACTTTACTTCTTGATCCTTGGCCACTGGTTCCTCTAGGTCTTTGACTCATATTTTCCTTCCCTTTGCCTTTCAAATCTTCTCCTGATTAACATTTTCTTGTATTTCCTCCCTAGTCACCTTCATTTGAAGGAAATATTGTTAAAACCATTGTCATTAGAGCCAATTTTGTGCATGTGTGAGCATAAAATTTCAGAATACAGGATCCTTAAAAGACAAGAGTTCTTTACTATAAGCCTCGAATATGTGATATTTAAAAGTTGAAAACATTAACCTAGTACATTTTATATCCTGTTTGGTTCAGAAATCTTTTATTAAGTACCAACAGTGTGCTGAGCACCATAATAGAGTTAGGGATACAGAGATAACACAGGTCTTCAGGTGGCCTTGTAATGGGTAAAGGTGTTGAAAGGTTAGTTCTGGTCCCCTGTGCTGAGGGCAGCATTGCCTGGTCCTTGCTGCTGTTTGTTACCTGTGCCTGGGGCCCTCCTCCCTTCATCACACAAACTCCTCAGCTGGCAGGTCTCATCTTAAGTAGCCTGGCCCCCTAAAGTTTACCTTTCTGTTCCTATCCCATCTGCAGTTTTCCATAAAAACCTTAATTTCTCACAGTACTTACACACTGCATTAAATTTTCCTGTTTACTTGTTGGAATCTTTCCCT